GATCACACCATTGCACTCCAGCCTGGGCAACAAGAATGAAATTCCATCTATTAAAAAAAAAAAAAAAAAAAACGGCTGGGCACGGGGGCTGACGCCTGTAATCCCAGTACTTTGGGAGGACAAGGCAGGGGGATTGCCTGAGGTTAGGAGTTTGAGACCAGCTTGGCTAACATGGTGAAACCCCATCTGCACTAAAAATACAAAAAATAGCCGGGAGTGGTGGCACACGCCTGTAGTCCCAGCTACTCGTGAGGCTGAGGTGGAAGAATCACTTGAACCCGGGAGACAGGGATTGCAGTGAGCTGAGATCCCACCACTACACTCCACCCTGGGTGACAGAGCAAGACTCTGTCACAAAAACAGAAAAAAAAAAGAAGATGACAAATAAGTGAATCAACAGGTTTGACATTCTACAAGATAAATTTCACTACCATGAAGTTCAACATTTATCTAGGGAGGAAAATATAGACGACAGGACAGACTCCTTCGCAGGGGTGGCCCAGAAGACTGTCAGCTGGGTGAGGGCATAATTAAGGGCAGCCTCCTGAGCCATCCAGTATTTACTGGCTTTCCTAAAGGCCTTCTAGGCCTGGTGTCTACAAGATCCCCACCTGAACATCTGTCACATTTGTTTCATCCTTCACTCTCCAACTCCCTTTAATTTCAGATTAAAAAATGGGTTGCTGAATACAAAACACACACCCTCGATACTTGGCATTATCTCCAGAGGCAACCTTCTGAAGGACTCATGCCTGGTCCCCACTCCCTGCCTCAGAGGGCCAGGTTCTTAACTGCCCACTCCCAGCCTCCTGGAGCCCTTAGCCCTGCCTGGGCGCCCTGCTCCTCCCCACTGCCCGGGGGGCATGGATACAGGTGCTTGTGCTCTATGGTATCTTGGAGTGGGGTATGGTGGTGGCAATTCCTAGCATAGCATATGAGGTAAATGCACTGATATTCACATTTAAAACATTATATTCTACAAAATAGAAGTAACTATAACATTTATGCTAATAATTTAAACTTAATTTTTCTTTATGTAGAATGGCATTAAATAGCAAAAATAAAAAAAATTTTTTTTGAGACAGAGTTTTACTCTTGTTGCCTAGGCTGGAGTGCAATGGCGCAATCTTGGCTCACTGCAACCTCCACCTCCTGGGTTCAAGTGTTCCTCCTGGCTCAGCCTCCCAAGTAGCTGGGATTACAGGTGCCCACCACCATGCCCATAAATAGCAATTTTTTAAAAAAATGACGTCAAGGGAAAAACTACAGAATAACAAAATTTTATATTTTAGTATCTTTAAAGATGATTTATTTTTTATTTTTTATTTTTTTGAGACAGAGTCTCATTCTGTCACCCAGGCTGGAGTGCAGTGGCATGAGCTCAGTTCACGGCAACCTCCGCTTCCCAGGCTCAAGTGATCCTCCCACCTCAGCCTCCCTAGTAGCTGGGACTATAGCCATGCGCCATCACACCGGCTAAGTTTTGTATTTTTTGTAAAGATGGGGTTTTACCATGTTGCCCAGGCTAGTCTCAAACTCCTGAGCTCAAGCAATCCTCCTACTTTGGCCAAAGTGCTGGGATTACCGGTGTGAACCACCACACCCGGCCTAAAGATATTCAGTTGGTGCAAAAGTAATTGCAGTTTTTACCATCAAAAGTAATGGCACTAACCACAATTACATTTGCACCAAGCTAATACTTTTTCCTTCTTTTTGAATAAGGAGCCTTGCATTTTCATTTTACACTTAGGCTCTGCAAATTATGTAGCCAGTCCTGTCGCTAGGACGTGCTTCAGGTCCTAGGGGAGGGGAAAGTTAGCCTTACTGCAAGCCTCAAAAGTGACTTTCCCAGAGTCTAGCTGTCCTCACTTAGGGACAGGTACCCACAAAGAGACAGTACCTACACAAGGTGGCTCCACACAACCCCAAAGCTAAAACTGAGAAACTTGAAGCTAGAAAGGGTCTTGTGCAGCAATTAGCTGGTTCCTGCCAGTACCCTTGTGCCAAGTCACAGAGGATGCCAAGGGCCCAGCAGCCAGAGAAGGAAGATAGCCTAGTCCAGTAGCCAATAGGTCCCAGTCCCAGATGCAGAGCAATAAGGATATGAGATGAAGACGCAAAGGAGGCCACTGAGCCTCCACTGGCCAGCTTTGAGCATTGTTCTCAACAGCAACTGACTGTATCCAAGAAGCCTGGGTCTAGGCACCAGCCTTGACAGGCCTGTTTGTGGCTGTTGAGCTTCTTTCACCTTACTCATTCTCCTCCACCCCAATCTCCTTCCCAGTAAGGAGTTTTCCAAGACCTGTAATACCTAGAAAACTCATTGGGTCTCTTTAAAACACTGCTTGCTCAAGATATATCAAGTGCCTACTCAGCTCCCAGCCCTGCGCTGGGTGCCTAAGTCTCAGAAGTGGGGAATAAGATGCCTGCCTTCAAGGAACAGCCTTGGCACAGGCAAGGTGGCTGAGCCCCTCTTCTCTGACATCTCCTCATTGCCTCACGACCTACTGAACATCTGCTGTAGGGGGAACACAGTTCACAAGGTTCCATGAAACCACTGAAGAGCAGCCCAGTGTAATACTCTAACTCCCATGTTCTCTTCTAGAAACTTCTCCCTCATAGGTCCCATGTTTTAAAAAGCTGTGTCTGCCAAATTGTATTTACTAATAATCAATGTCTTCAATTTCTTACTAATCAGAGACATGTACCACCACTAATCAGCATAGGAGAGCAAGGGATACTGCCCTTCCAAAGTACCTCAGTCCCCAGAAAAAGCAAAGATGGGGTCTGGCCCCATGAGCCTTGGGGAAGCCTAACTCAGAGCAATGGCATATGGGCATCCATCTCCTTCAAGATGCATGGCCTGGGGTGGGAGCCACCACTACTACTGTGGCTATCACACGAGGGACTGAAGACTTATATTCTAGTCTCAGCTCAAACACTTCAGCAAAATCACTGAACCTTCATGGACCTGAGTTTCATCATCTGAAGAATGGGGATGATTCCTCCCCTCCTGCCTCCAGGGGCTGTTACAAAGATCAAATAAGAAAAGACACAAGGAAAAAACCATCTGCTCTAGGAATGTCCAGGATTACTGCAAGATTCTATGTCTGTAAAACGGAACTAGTAATAGTTGCTACCTCATCAAACTATTGTGAGAATTAAATCAATGATAGTTACAGAACAGTTCCTACCATTTTTCAAAGACTCAAAAAGATTAGGCTGTTACATAATTATCACTACTATTATTGCTACTTCTGTTAATGACACTATTATCAAAATTACTATTATACCTTGCTACCCAGCTGAGGGATTCATAGTAGAGAAGTGCTGGAGTACAAAAAGTCATTTATTTACTTATTTATTTAGAGACAGGGTCTCACTCTGTCATCCAGGCTGGAGTACAGTATCACAATCATAGCTCATGGTAACCTCAGACTTCTGGGCTCAAGCAATCCTCACACTTAAGCCTCTCAAGTTGCTAGGATTACACGAGCATACCACCGTTAATTTTTTCATTTTTTGTACAGATGAGGTCTCTCTGTGTTGCCCAGGCTGATCCTAAACTCCTGGCCTCAAGTGATCCCCTTGCCTCTGCCTCCCAAAGTGCTGGAACTGCAGGCATGAGCCACTATACCCAGCCAAAAAAATCTTTTTAAAGGGGCTATCAACATCCTTTAGTCTAGAACTGGGAGAATCAGCAGTAGATTTCTTATATATTTTGTCCCTCATTAATGCAAAACTGAACAAAAAGTACAGAAATCAAAACTAAAATTCACCTGCCTAAGCTCAAGCTTTTCTGCTTCAAGAAAGGGATTCTGAGGCTAGGTGCAGTGACTCATGCCTATAATCCCAGCACTTTGGGAGGCTGAGGCAGGCGGATCACTTGAGGTCAGGAGTTTGAGACTAGCCTGGCCAACATGGTGAAACCCCGTCTCTACTAAAAATGCAAAAATTAGCCAGTCATGGTGGTGCACACCTGTAGTCCCAGCTACTTTGGGGGTGGCCGAGGCATGAGACTCACTTGAACCCAAGAGGCAGAGGTTGCAGTGAGCTGAGATCATGCCACTGCACTACAGCCTGGGTGACAGAGCAATGCTGTCTTTAAAAAAAAAAAAGACAGAAAGAAAGAAAAGAAATGGACTCTGGAGAGTATTAAAACATTTGCTGGCCAGTCATGGTGGCCTGCATCTGTAGTTCCAGCTACTTGGGAGGCTGAAGTGAGAGGATCACTTGGCCCCAGGAGTTCAAGGCTGCAGTGAGCTATGACTGCACCACTGTATTCCAGACTAGGAGACAGAGGAAGATTCTGTTTCTTACAATTTTTTCAAAAATTAAAATTTTTTAATCTGCTAAATATGAGGAACAACTGAATACATCCTGTAAAAACTCACACAACTTTCCTGTGCAAGGATCCATTAGGAAAAATAAAATCAGCTGTGTCAATGCTTTGTCCCTCTCACTCTATGAGCCAGTTACAGGAGGCTCCTGCCCTCAACACAAAAATCAAACATTCAGAAATGCTCACGGCAAAGCTAAGAAATCAGACAAACATTTGTCAGGAAAACATTTTTTTATGTGGGGGGCGGGGGATGAGGGAGAGAACAATTACTCCCAAAACCCTTAAGTCTCTCAAAAAATTGTTACAGAAATAGGTCCAAAGTACAATCATCTGCCACAGGGCCCTGCCTTTGAGGGTAGGGAACACTGTCACACATTGCTTTCCCTAGGCCTGGAAGATCCAAGGCCCTGGGGGCATGGGAGCTCACTGTAGGAAAATCATTAGGGACCTCACAGACAAGTTACCATGGAAGAGTCAGCAAAGGTGTGGAAGGCTGTGCTCCAGCCTCCACAGTCCCACACATGGCCTCACACACCCAGTCCAAGGTTGTACCTGGTACTTTGGAACACTTGCAGCCCTTCCTCCTGTCAAATGAATGATGGGCCCTGCCCCTGGGTGAGGCCAGTGAGATGCGAGCCATGGATCCCATCCCTCTTACCTTCTTAAAAACACTGCTCCAGCAACTGCCCACTCTCTTTCCTGCAGCATCGACTTCTCCCTCTCCATGGGATCATTCCCATCAAAACAAAACATGCTGTACAATCTTCCACTAAAAAAAAGAAAGGAAAACCCTCCCTCAAACCCACATCCTCTCCAGTTACCAGCTAATGTCTCAACGCCACTTTGCAACAAAACTACCTGGAAGATTTGCCTAACTGACTCCCTGTCTTCACCCCGTATTTTATCTTCCACCTACTCCAGTCAGCTTTTGTCCTTTAAGACTTCTGTGACCCTGCATTCTCCTGGGGTTTCTCCCACCTTCTCAGTCCTTTTCAGTCTCCTTGCTGGCTTCACCTCTCTCCCCTCTAAACACTGCTTTGACCACCCAAAGGCTCAGAACATCGGTCTTCTGTCTGTACTCTCTTCCGAGGGGATTTCATCTAATCCCATGGTCTCGAATAACATATATTATGCCCAGTGGGTCTCTTCCATCCTCTCTCCCCACCAAGCTTCAGATCACACTCTCTGACATACTCATATCTCAAATGTAAGATGGCAAAACAAGATCTCATGATTCTCCTCCACCCCAAACCGGCTCTTCCCATCTCAACAATATGAATGCTATCCACTCAGGTGCTCGAGCCCTGAGGAGTCATCTTTGCCTCTTCTCTTTCTCTCACAGACTTTATTCAGTCCATCATGAAGGCATGAAGAGCCTACTTCCTAAACATAGCCTGAATGTGACCACTACTGTGCTACCACCCTCAGGCAAGCCACTGCTAACTCCTGCATGGACAAGGGCAACAGCCTCAGCTGCTCTCCTGCCTCCCCCTGCAGTGGCCACCTACAATCCAATCTCCTCACAGTGATCGTTCTAAAAACACAAACCGAATCATGCCACTTCCCTGCTCAAAACCCTCCAATGACGTTTCACTGGACTTAGAATAAAGTAAGAAAATTCCTCACCCTGGCTCACAAAGCTTTGCAGCACTTACCTCTCTCCTACCTGTGACCTCTCCTCATGCCACTTTCTCCCTTGTGCACCACATTCCAGCTACTTGGCCTTCCTGCTCCTTAAACTCCAAGCTCTTTTCTGCCTTAAGCCCTTGCCCTGGCTGTTCGCTCTTCCCGAAATGCTTGGCCAACTCATCATCACATGATGTCTCCTTCTTGTCATTCAAATTTTACTTTAAACGTTGCCTATTCAGAAACACCATCCCGATCTCCCAGTACAACCAAGCCACCCAGTCACTCCATGTCACATCACCTTATTTTAACTTTCTGCACAGTAGTAACCACGATCTGATATTATTATTCGTGTTTTTTACTTATTTTCTACTCCCTTCCCTCTCCTATTAGATTGCAAGCTCCATGAGCACTTTGTCTGTTTTTTGTTCCCAATGCCTAGAACAACGTGTGAACGTGTGGCACACAGGATAATTGTAATAATATCAACTGATGCAGTTATGAGCCAGAGAGGCCCACTGATAGCAAGATTCTGATGGCCCCAGCCAACTCCCCAACTTCACACACACACATACGAGGCAGGGCAACAGAACCGCAGCAAGGCCCTATCCTCAGGTCTGTAAATCTCACCCATTAGTATTTTCAACTATTGTGCAAGAACCCAAACCAGAAAAGGAGGTTCCGGGGTTTTCTTGAAATAAGCCGCTTTACTCCTAACAGTAGTAGTTCTGACTCATAGTCGCCGAAGTACACCCAGTACTAGTCAGACCACCATCCAGACCTTTAGCGAGTTGATTCATTCAGTGAACAAACATTTACCGAGTGCCTACTCTCTGTCGGGCACTGGGGCAAGAGGTCAAAGGCAGTTTCTGGTCTCCCGGAGCTCAGCAGGCAGAGGGAAACACGCTGCAACACAGGCTGCCGCCGGAGTGGGAAAGCAAAGCCTGTACTGGCATAGGAGCCTGACCCGCGCCTTCACTTACTGCGTCCCAATCAGACATGGACTGATCCTACAGACCCAGAGTAACCTGGCTGGTGCGCCAACGCTCCGGGGTTTTTGCGGAAAAGCTGCCCCTGGACTAACCCAGGGACCAGCGATAGCCCGGTTCAGCTCCGGCCGAAGAGACGCGGAGCGCTCGAGGAACGTCATTGGTTGACCAGTTCCCCTCCCCACCCCCTCCCTCCCCGCAGGCCCGCGCAGTGGATGGAGGCCGGGGGCGAGGTTCCGACTCTCCGCGACCATCCCAGAGACTGTGGCCGGAGAAGGGGGTCCTCCTAAGCGAGATTCCCCTAGTCTCTCCCTCTCCCCACTCCAACCCCGCAGGAAGCCCACACCAGGACAGAACTCCTCGTTCTACTCCCCCAACCCGAGCCCATCCCGGTCCCGGCACCCGCCTCTCCCGGCGGGGCGCAGCCCAAGACCCCAGAGGGCAGGCGTGCCCAGCCCTCACACCAGCACCCGAATGCAGCCGTATTGCAAGGTCCAGGGCGCAGAGTCTGCGGCCCCTTCCCCCCTCCGCCCAGGTCCCCACCGTAGATGCGGCCCCCACCGCCTCCCTCTCTGAGGCCGCCAAACAACTCCGGCACACAAAACCCTGAGTGCGGCCGCGGCGCAGCGCGCGCCAACGAGCCCGGGCCGGCGGGAGCAGAGGGAGGGCGGGGCGCCCGGCGGGAACCTGGAGGGACCCTCGCAGCACAGGTGCGAGCGCGGCGGCCCCACTCACTCACTCGATGAAGTAGCTGGCGCCCTCCTCCGTGAAGCCCTCCTCCCAGCCGCGGGGCAGGTCTGCGGAAACGCCAGAAAAGTCCGGTCAAACTTGGGCAGCCGCGGCGCGCGCCCCCCACCCGCCGGCCCGGCGCCCACCTGAGCGGATCATGTGGCCCGAGTTGACGGGCTCCCCGGTGCGCGGGTGCAGCCAAGTCGTGCGGCGGAGCTGGTCACTGCGGGCAGAGAGGTGCACCTGTTAGCGCCGCCACAGCCCGTGGGGCGCCCGCCCTGCCCCCGCCCCGCGCCCCTACCTCCGCGCCCCCACCTCCGCGCCCCCACCCGCGTCCCCGCGTCCTCGCGCCGCACTTGATGAAGAAGACACGGCCGTCCCGGCACACCCCGTAGGACCAGTGCTCAGGTAAAGTGTCCCGCCCGACCGTCGCCGCCGCCATGTTCGCCGGGCGCGGAGCCGCCGCGGGGTGGGGAGGAGGGGGCGGGGGCGGGGGCGCGGGCGGGGGTGGAGGCGGTGGTGGGGGCTCGGCCTGCGCGTGGCCCGGCTGTGCCGCGGGGCGCTCCATGCAGGCGCTGGCTCCTCGGGGAGCGACCGCCCGGCCGGGTCCTGGCTACCGGAGTTCGCCGCCTCACGGGCCGGCCCGGCGCGGTGCCCGCGGCCTTTGTCCTCACGCCTTCCCCGCCCCCAGCCTGCTGGTCCCGGCGCTCCCCTTTGCCCCCGAGGCCGGGAGACCCAGGCTGCCCGGGGGGCCGCTGGCGGGCGCGCCTGGCAGCTTCGGGGCGCACGGTTGGACCCGACCAACTCCGAAAACGGCGCGCGCCCGAACGCTCGGTAAACCCCGGCCGACCCGCACCACAGAACTTCCCGACCCGGGAACTCCGCTCGTGTGTGAACCAAGTTAACACTCAGGTTCCTGCCATATTCCCAGCCTCCGTCTCTTCCCCTGTAAGGTTAATCGAGTCTCCACGGGATTGTTGTGTAGATTAAATGAAGTAACAATCGCATAAAGTGCTTAACAGGACCCTGGCACATAGTAGGTGATCTATCAATGGCAGGCCAAGCACGATTTCATTTTCCCAAGTTTTCAGCTGGGATGTGAAACTGGAGGGAGCAGGGTTACCCCCACACACTCCTGAGGTTGCAGGGATTGCAGGCTCTTGCCTTCAGGTCCTGTTAAGTAACAGAGAGAAGGGGTGTTGAGGGCTCGGCAGCACGTCCATCTCTAGAAGAGCGGCGTCCAGGCGAGGCCTCTGGTGGGGCCTTGCAAAGCTCTTTGCAGTGGCAGTACCCTCTCATATTCGGGTCTTTACTACTGTCTTATCTTCTCGGGGAGCCCTCCCCGAGCCCTCTGCAAAGAAAATCCTTTCCCTTCTTCCCTCGCTATTTCATTACTGGTTTGCCTTTAATTGATATTCTTATTTGTGTTTGTCTTGTTTGTTATATATTAGTTCCAACATGTCAGCTGGATGAGAGAAGGGGCTTTGATCTACCTCATACACTGCCTTGTCTCCAACGCCTGGAACAGCGCCTGACTCATGTATGCTTTATGCATTCAATAACTGCAGGATGGGGTGGGGCGCGGTGGCTCACACCTGTAATCCCATCACTCTGGGATGTCGAGGCGGGTGAATCACTTGAGGTCAGGGGTTCTAGTCCAGCTTGGCCAACATGGTGAAACCCCGTCTCTACCAAAAAAATACAAAAGCTAGCCGGGCGTGGTGGTGGGCGCCTGTAATCCCAGCTATTCAGGAGACTGAGGCTGGAAAATCGCTTGAACCAGGGAGGCAGTGATTGCAGTGAGCCGAGATCGCACCGCTGCACTGCAGCCTGGGCAACAGCGAGACTCTGTCTAAAAAAAAAAAAAAAAAAACCTGCAGGATAAGTGAATGAAACATACTCCACACTCAGACTCCCGGCCATACACACACACACGCACGCACACACACACACACTGAGCAAAGATAGAGCAGCATCTGGGCTCTGGCTGTTGTCAGGCCCAGCCTTCCAGGGACATAGGCTGTGATTGATGGGAGGAGGCGCACCTGAAAGTGAGACTGTATGCAATGTGAGCACTAGTTATTCAGAAAGGTGCCCAGACAGGTGGAATTAGGCTGGACCCTGAAGGACTGGTTAGGTTTGACTGGGAAAAGAGCACTCCAGAGGGGAGGGATGGGAGAGCATGCACATAATTTTGGGAGGAGTGTGAGATGTTGAGGAGACCATAAAGGGGCCCTTCCTTGGGAACAGACAGTGGTGTTGGGGAAGGAGGCATTTATGAGTTAGAAGAGGGAGCTGTTTGAGAAGGACGAGGGACACCTGTCTGAGGGAGCCTCCTGCCTCTGAGGAGGTTGTTGAGCAAATGAAAACAGGAAAGTGGTGTATTTTCCTAGCTAAACATTGATTTTAAATAATAAATGGGCAAAGGATATGAGCACACAGTTAATAGAAAAGTAATACAGATAGCTTTTGAGCAAATGGAAAGATACTGAGCCACCTCATAATAGGAGAACTGAAACTTAAGATTAAGGTGAAATACTGTTTTTTTAGATGTCAGATTGGAAAAGATACACAGATTAGAAAAGATATTGGCTGGGCATGGTGGCTCACACCTGTAATCCCAGCACTGTGGGAGGCCAAGGTGGGTGGATCGCTTGCGATCAGGAGTTCGAGACCAACCTGGCCAACATAGTGCAACCTTGTCTCTACTAAAAACACAAAAATTAATTGGGCATGGTGGCGCATGCCTGTAATCCCAGCTACTCGGGAGGCTGAGGCAGGAGAATCACGTGAACCCAAGAGGTGGAGGTTTCAGTGAGCTGAGATCACTGCACTCCAGCCTGGGCCACAGAGTGAGACTCTGTCTCAAAAAAGAAAGAAAGAAAAGATATTGTAGAGAAAGACATTCTTGTTCATTGTTGATGGGACTTTAAAATGTTTGAGCCTCTTTGAAGGCAATTTGGCACAGCTGTTCCAACCTGAATGTCTTTGACCTAGCAATTTCATGTCAGAAATCTATCCTACATTAGTGCTCACATGGGGCACAAATTCCAGTGTACTATTCACTGCAGCATTGTCAGTAATTACAAAGAACTGGAGATAACCTTAATGTTTATCAAAAAAAGAATGGTTGATTAAACTGGCACATTCCTCAACAACAACAGCAGCAGCAAAAAAGAATGCTATGCAGCTGTTAAAAAGCATGAGCTAGATCCCTACGTACTGATATAGAATGGTCTGTAAGATATTAAATGGGCCAGTTGCAGTGGCTCATGCCTGTAATCCCAGTAATTTGGGAGGCTGAGACATGAGGATGGCTTGAGTCCAGGAATTCAAGACCAGCCTGGGCAACATGGCAAAACCCCATCTCTACAAAAGATACATTAGCCAGGCATGGTGGCACATACCTATAGTTCCAGCTACTTGGGAGGCTGAAGTGGGAGGATCACTTGAGCCCTGGAAGTTGAGGCTTCAGTGAGCCATGATTGGGCCACTACACTGTATTCTGGGTGACAGAGCAAGACACCATCTCTAAATAAATAAATAAACAAGTAAAAAATAAAGTGAAAAGGCAGGCTGCAGTACTGTGCATGTGATATGCTACTGTTAATATACAGATAGAGTCCCTACACTGTCAAGAATGATGTAAAGTGATTGCCTCTGAGGAAGGAAACTCTAATAGGAATGGTAGGAGATTTACTTTACCTTGTTTCCCCTTTCATATTGTTTGATCTTTTTATCATTTAAAGCATATACATATAGATACATAGAATAATACAGTTCATTAATAGGTCCAACAAGAGATACCCTGAAATTATCTCAATAAGTGCCAAAATATGTAATCAATAAAACTCAATGCCTATCACTGATTTTCAAAATTATATGTTAGAAAGTAAAATAAAAAATAATGACAAAACAGTATGCAGGGCCGGGCGCGGTGGCTCAAGCCTGTAATCCCAGCACTTTGGGAGGCCGAGACGGGCGGATCACGAGGTCAGGAGATCAAGACCATCCTGGCCAACACGGTGAAACCCCGTCTCTACTAAAAAATACAAAAAACTAGCCAGGCGAGGTGGCAGGCGCCTGTAGTCCCAGCTACTCGGGAGGCTGAGGCAGGAGAATGGCGTAAACTTGGGCGGCGGAGCTTGCAGTGAGCTGAGATCCGGCCACTGCACTCCAGCTTGGGCGACAGAGCGAGACTCCGTCTCAAAAAAAAAAAAAAAAAAAAAAAACAGTATGCAAAGAAACTCTATGTCTCATACATTGCTAGTGGGATGTAAAATGATACAGCCACTCTGAAAAATAGTTTGGCAGTTTCTTTAAAAAGTAAACTCTTTTTTGAGCCAGTCTCATTCTGTCACCCAGGCTGGAGTGCAGTGGCACAATCTCAGCTCACTGCAACCTCTGTCTCCTGGGTTCAAGCAATTCTCCTGCCTCAGCCTCCCGAGTAGCTGGGATTACAGGCATTTGCCACCAAGCCCAGCTAATTTTTGTATTTTTAGCAGAGTCAGGGTTTTACTATGTTGGCCAGGCTGGTCTTGAATTCCTGACCTCAAATGATTCACCCCCCTCAGCCTCCCAAAGTTCTGGGATTACAGGTGCAAGCCACTGCGCCCGGCCAAAAACTAAACACTTACTATATAACCCAGCATTCACACTCCTAGGCATTTATCCCAGAAAAAATAAAACATTTTTTAAAAACTTGTACATAATTATTCACAGCAGCTTTACTTATAATAGGCAAAAACTGGAAATAAGCAAATGTCCTATGATAGGTAAATTGTTAAACAACTGTGAGATGTCTATAACATGGAATACAACTCAGTAATGAAAAGGAATTGATACATACCACTTGGACGGATCTCAAGACATTATGTTGAGAAATTTATAAAGCCAATCTGAAAAGGTCTATAATGTTCTCAAAATACATCTTTTTTAAATGTAGAAATGAAGAACTGATTATTAGTGGTTGCCAGGAGTTAGGGATGGTGGTGGGGAGTGGGAGGATGTAACTATAAGGGAATAGCATGAGGGAGATCTTTGTAGTGATGAAATAATTCTGTGTTTTTGTGGGGTTTTGTGTTTTGTTTTGTTTTTGAGACAGAGCCTCCTTCTGTCACCCAGACAGTGATACAATCTCAGCTTACTGCAACCTCCACCAACAGGTTTAAGCTATTCTCATGTCTCAGCTCCCCCAAGTAGCTGGGATTACAGGCACACACCACCACGCCTGGCTATTTTTTTTTTGTATTTTTAGTAGAGCCAGGTTTTCACCATGTTGGCCAGGCTGGTCTTGAATTCCTGGCATCAAGTGATCTGCTCTCCTTGGCCTCCCAATGTACTGGGATTACAGGCATGAGCCACTGCACCTGACCATAATTCTTTATCTTGACTGCAATCATAGTTACACACAAATTGACACATAAAATAACAGAAGTATTTAAACACATTGTATCAATGTCAGTTTCCTGGTT